ATATTCCTCAATTTATGTGTTTTCAAAATATGCACAATGAGATTTCTGTGCTCATCTTTTTCGACCGACCCGAACGTGAACACCCCATACCTACAAGAGTAAAGTACCAGTTAAAATACAGATAGCAAATTGGTTTTAGTCTTAAAATATTCCTCAATTTATGTGTTTTCAAAATATGCACAATGAGATTTCTTTGCTCATCCCCTTCGGCCGACCCAAACGTGAGCACCCCATACGTATAAAAATAAAGTACCAGTTAAAATATAGATAGCGAATTGGTTTTAGTCTTAAAATGTTCCTCAACTTATGTGTTTTCAAAATAAACAGAATAAGATTTTTGTTTTGGTTAATGTATTGATTAACTTGTTTAATAAAATTTCAGAAAAATTTTTATTTATATGTATTTATATGTATTTGTATATGTATTTGTATACATTTTTAAAGTTATTTAATATGAGTTAGGAGTAAGTATTGCAAAGTTGCTAAATATTATGGAGAATGGGTCACTGAGATTCTGAACAATATATAAATACATATAAGTAAACATATGTTTAATTAATTTTTAACATTCCCTTTCTAATAATAGAAACAAAATGTAATTTTCAAAATTAGTTACTCTTTAGTAAACTTTAATTTGTATTTATATAGAATCTCTTGTGTATTGTTTTTCATGATAATATTACATGAATGATAGTACAGTTCACGATATAATTGCGTGACTAATACTTGAAGGATATATTTGTTTTATGATGTATAGAAGAATATGGTAATAGAATATTTAGATATTACATATATAATTGTTTATTTAAAAAATTTGTATCAAAAAATTACATTAACAAAAAAAATTAATGTGATTTTTATGCTTTTAAAATCATTGTGCATATTTCGGGAGCACATAAATTGAGGAATATTTTAAGACTAAAACCAATTCGCTACCTGTATTTTAACTGATTAGGTACTCTTGTACGTATGGGGTACTCACGTTCGGGTCGGTCGAAGGGGATAAGCATGAAAATTTCATTGTGCATATTTCGAGAACACATTAATCGAGAAACATTTTAAGACAAGAATTATTTCGCTTTCTCTATTTTAACTGATACTTTATTTTTATATTAGTAGTATATATATCTTTTTTTGCGTATATTTTTTAAACTATTACAGATAGACTAATTTTGTTTGAGGCATTTGAAAGCACATAAAAAGCATATAATTCTAGCATATTGAATTTTTTATTTTATATGTAATTTTAATGAGTGGGGGTGCTAGCTTACTTTAAGCCAGCACCCTCAGTTTCAATTGCAATTTCCCACGAAACCGCTCGAGCACAAAAATCGTGAATAGAGCACATAATTAACGCATAAAGAGCACTTAATTTCTGCATATGTGTTATTCCGGTTTTTTATGGAGGGTGCTAACTTAACAGACATAAATACATTATATTACTTTTTTACCTTTTAAGATTTTTTCCTTTGTTTACGGATGTTTGCAAATCTAAGCTATTCCATTATAGAGTGTTCCAAGTCTTTCTCTGTATTACAAGGGATTGTTGTCTAATAGCCTCTAAAACAAGAAGAATTCAATATAATTTAGATAAGAAAAAGGTTTGAATTTAATATATACATAATTTAATTATAATAAGCAGCTTTACTTACGACTTGTGTAAAAGCTTCTTGGTCATCTTTTAGCATTTCTAGTATCTTGTACAGAGTTTTCCTTATAATATATTGTTCACTAATGTTTATCTTAGCCAGGGTCAAATTTTTCAAATGGTGGTTTTTTGAATTTGATACAACAATTGATCCCATATGTTAAGACATATTCATTGCCCTGTACATATAAAATATGCTTACAATAATCTATTTATATACTTTAGAGTGTAATTATAGCACATATATGTGAAAAAAATATAGAAATAAATAAAAAGTCAGTTTTGGTCTTGTTTGTACTGATCGTTTGTTACATATCTATCAACTTTATACCAATTTTATACTAAATTACTTTTACAGTGATATATGCAAACAATGATGTATTAAAGCCGCACAATACTTCAACAAATCGTCTTTATGCATAGTGTACTAGCTTATTTATACGTTATCATTTACATATTTCGCTAAATTTTGAGGTTATTTTATAGAAAGTTACACTGTTTGGTACCATTGAAATAATAGCATTGACGAACCTTGATGATATTTTTAATGTCCAAGGACAAATCTATTACAGAACGTAAAAAAATTAATTGATATTTCCTCTCTTTTGTAAATCTCTCTTGTAAATCGGAAAATGAATCCTACATCACCAGCTACTATTCATAGCACAAATAATTATAGCACGTATATGGTTAATTGAATTCTTATCATTAATATACAACTTTTAGAATATAATAATTACTACTTATATATAATTATGCTGTAAATAAAGAGCACTCCGCACTCCTCGATTGACACACGTGTATACGCACTCACGCATCGTATGTAGGATAATCATACATCATGGCTGTCGCGATGAGCGTTGCGCACAATATAAAACGATAACATTATAACAACAGAAAATTAATATACTATCAACGTTATTTCTGAGTCCAAATTACAAGGAATTTTGAACTGTTGCATTGATCTCAAATAAATGTCAGAGTAACATTTGAAAAATATTTTCTGTAACGTTTTCAAAATATTTTAACATTCAGAAAAATCATATTACGAAATAATATTTTTCAAATATGTGTATAATATTATTAAAAAACGTTTAAAAAATACACATAAAGTCAATATTTCTAAACGTTAATTTAATGTTCCTTGCTTACTGGGCTCTCACGCAAATAATAAGTCGACGCGGACGATATTCTCACGCAGTTATTATCCTACGCAAATGCTCGAACGCAAGACTCAGGCGCGAACAGTACGGCAAGGCCGGTAACATCAGAACGCCATCACGTGAATAAGATCTCGGCACAACCGATACCGCGTAGATAATCTAACTGTCCGAACGCGAATCGCGAGTAACGCAATTAAGCCAATTAATACTATGACGCGATTAATACTTGGCCGGGCGAATTGCTACGCACGACGAGACGCGCGGTCGTGAACGCGAAGGGCGTGAGAAATGGCGTGCTCGCGATATCGAACGTTGTCATTGACGCTTTTACCGCGATCTCCAGGAGTTCGTATATTTCGGTCGCGATCCCACCGGCCACAAGACCATTCCGGTGCCCCTCGCTTTCGCTGTCGATCGCTAAGTACGCCTTGCCGGCGACTACACTAATTATCGCGAGTAATCCCGAGCGAGAGCGCGACCCGGAGAGCGGTGTTGTGGCTTACATTGAATATTACCGAGGCAACCTCACCGTTGGTTGATTCTCTCTTGCGAGGCTCCTCGCCGTCGTCCCAAGGGTCGGAAGAATAGCTGCCAGTATTCGTACGAGAAACTAATTGTAAGTGCGACTCAAGTGCACAATAGAGTACCGCGACTTAGGCGTGCGTGCGTCGGGAATCGAGGACGAGCCAAGAATGCTCTCGAAATTTCGCTCGATGGCGGAATCGATAGCGTACCCCTCCCCGGGCGTATGCGGCCCCGCGACGCTATAGCGCGGACCAATCAGGGGTGAGCTCGCAGGCTCGCGGTGGATTCTTGCGTAGGGACGTTAATCACGGCTTTTCGCAGGGCGCCAAACGGTCCCTCGTTCGCGCAGCGATTTTTCCAGGATCCTTCCCGGTAGCGGACGGGACGTGATTGCCTCCGCGTTCCTCTTTGTCGGTCCGGAAATGGTGGCCAACCATCCCGGAATCCGGTCAGTAGGTTGAGGAGGGCAGGTGAGCTGATTTTGCCTCGGCGTCCCGGGGCCCTGCCGTTACGGATCCGCCCGCCGCTGTGTTTCGCCGCCGCGCGCGTGTCCTCTCGCGCTCCCCTGCTTTTGGCGGCCCGCAAGCACCACCGAGATCCGTTTCTCGTCGTCCGCTTCCTCGCCTCTATCCTTGTCGTCGACTCCATTTTTCCATGATTCTCAGCATCGTCTCAGGAACTCCGGTTTTCGGCTGGGTGAGGCGTCGTGCAAATGATACAAAAATAAAAATGAAGGGATCAGAATAATGTACGCAAATTTAATATGCCCCTGGAGATCTCGCATCGATTCACTGGACCGTCCTCGGGCACGAAAAATGTTGCGAAACCCGCGCCTTGTGACGGCAGCAGGGCGTTGCAACGCTGCAGCGAAACTGCAACGTCACAATACATTCATCAAGATCACTATTTAAGAATGCTGTTGTGACATCTAAATGATCTATTTCCATATCATATTCATTCGCAATAGCAAACAGCAATCTTAATGTCGAATGTCTGACAACCGGTGCAAATGTCTCATTAAATCTACTCCATATACCTGACTAAAACCACGCGCAACCAAACGAGCTTTGAACCTTTCAATGTCGCCTAAAGGGCTTCTTTTTATCTTATAAATCCATTTACATTTAACTACGTTACAATCCTTTGGACGATCGACTAATACCCAGACATTATTGTCCATTAAAGACTTATATTTATTTTTCATTGCTTTTGTCCATTCATCTTTAAGTTCACAAGAAATCGCCTCTTGAAAAGTTTGTGGTTCATCAATAGTTACATTATTAAAGGATACATTGTTATCAAAAGATACTGTAAACATTACATAATCCTTAGTCCACCTTGGTTGACGAGTGTCACGCTTTTGCCTGTTTGCAATAGGATCCTTTTTCTTCAAACTATTGTCCCGTTGCAGCATACTTGGAACATCATCTCCTTCAGCAGTACTATCTGAATGCAGACTGTTGTCCACACTTTCATACGCTTTGGAATCGTCATTATCTTCTTCTGCATCTGAGTTTACATTTGTAGCTTCATGATGTATTTCAGACGTTGAAATTATATCTTTGCACTCTTTCGATTTCAGCGTTTTTATCTTCTTAGCATCATTTTCAAGAAAAATAACATCTTGAGCTTTGACTACTCTACCAGCTTGTGAAAGATCTGCAAGTCAATATCCCTTGGTATACTCGCAATAGCCAACCATTACATATTCTTTTGATTTCGCATCAAGTTTCTTCCTGAGTTCCTTTGGCGTGTGCATATAGACTTTGCATCCAAATATCCTCAAATTACTGATATCCACTTTTGATCCTGACCAGACTTCTTCGGGCGTTGCCTCAGGTATAGCAGTAGTTGGGCTCCGATTCTTCACATAGATTGCCGTCATTACAGCTTCACCCCAGTATTTCTTGCTTAATCCTGAATCTTGTAGCATGGCTCTAGTTTTCTCTATTATAGTACGATTTAATCTTTCAGATACACCATTCTGTTCCGGTGTATATGGAACAGTGGTTTCATGAATTATTCCATATTTTTTGAGAAAACTTTCAAATAAATGATTACAGAATTCTAAACCATTATCTGTCCTTAGTCTCTTAATTTTTAAGTCAGTTTGATTTTCAACAAGTGTTTTAAACTTAATGAACTTGTTTATCTCTCATAGTGTGTGTGTGTGTGTGTGTGTGTGTGTGTGTGTGTGTGTGTGTGTG